TGGCGCGAGCGCTCGGATGCCGGTTGTAGAAGTGTTGGAGACCTCCTGACAGGCAGAGCGCAAAGCAGCCGGAAATGGGGGGCTTCCCCGGGTGTTGGGTGGTGGCTCCGTGACTGACGTGTCGCAGTCCCCTTGCCGGGGAAATCTGACGTGACAGGAACGTAGCGCGCGCCTCCCTCCCCTCTGTTACCCCTCGCCGCAGCCCCCTCCCACACCCCCCGCAGGAAAGGCTGGGCACAAACGACAGCAGCGGGGACGCGCCAGGCACTTTATTGGTCCGTTCGTCGGCGGGCACTGATGGCAACACCCGGTACAGCATCGACACAAAAGTTCTTTCAGAAATCACAGGTACAACTGCAGCATCTGGGAAACTTGAGTTTTGGAATGGTGAACTCGGCAACGTGGTGGCTTCAGCTACGAGGAACGCTCTGGTGAGCCCAGGCTCGGCCTGCCACCTAAAACCCCTCCCCGGCTGCCTCGGAACCCGCTTCAGGGCAGAACGCGCGGCCCTCCCGCAGGGCAGGTTCACAGACAGGCAGTAACCAGGTCCCGGTAACCGTCCAGTGATTCAACCGCATCATCAAGTTTTAGGTACTTTAAGTATAAAGAAATCCTTTGCGCTGTGGCCGTGTTGTTGATCCCAATGATCAAAGGCACCTGCCTAAAAGCAGATGCGCACGCGTGTTTTGTCATGTTTAAATTTAAAAAAAAAATCCAGTTTTAAGTAATTTCTCCCCAAACACACGGTTTAAGCTACTTGAACACAGATACTATCAGACCCAGCCACAGAAACCACTCCTGGGGTACCGCTGTTACAGCTGTTTGCTTCAGGCCAGCCTTGTAAAAATCCACAGATAAACAGATCTGGAAAGATCCACGTATTCCTCGTGCTTGTGCAGCCGGGGAGCGCCCGAAGCTGGAGCTCTAATGTAGAGCACGGCCCAGAACGAAAAGCAGAACGAGAGAAAGCCTTGGTGTTCTGCAGTTCCTTCTTGCCCAAACCACCACTGGTTTCTGTATTTTTAAAATCAATTCTAAAAACAGTTTGCCCTGAAAAAGTAACCTGCTGCACTCACAGTTTCTGCGTATTTACAAATAATCCCCCCAAAACAGAGGATGACGGGAAAAATTCTGATACATTAAGAAATCTGTCTATAACATCGCATTAAGAGTTAATGCAATTTACAGCAATTTCACTGTGTTTCATCCACAGAGCCGGCCCCTTTAGGTCAGCGTCCTCCCTAAGACTGCTCTGTAGGTGAAATTACACCATTTAACCCAAAGGTAACGTGCATCACCTCAGTTTAATAATCCAGTATACTACAAAAAACACAAACAACGCAAAGAGCATCATGTAGCAGAGCAGCTTTGTCTGGCTTCCTCTGGAGAGCATCCTCAGCCTGCCCATAGTCGCGCCCAGGAGTCCACCCGCAGAGTCAAAGTCAGTATCCTGCAGTTAAAACACCAGAACAACGAAAACTGTGTGACTCTGAGGAAAAAAGGTTACCCCTAACACTTGCTAAGTGTAGTTTTTCCTGTTCAATTTTTCCAGAACTAAAATTATTTGAGGCAGTTTCTGAAAATTAACCTGGAAAATCTTTTGCCCACTTATCCAGAGGTATTTTTTTTCCCCAAGCCAAAGCAAAAACCAGGCACTTCTGCATTCCCCATGTTTTGCTTCCCTCTCCTGCTGTTAAACCCCAGTAAGTTCCATAATCCCGTACCTCTGCTAACAACCCACAGCAGGGGCTGAGCGCCGGGAGCCTTGGAAGCACCACACCCAC